TGGGAAACTGCTGATAAATGTGAACCCTTTTATATCCAATGGAACAAAGAATGAAGGTGTAGTTTATACAGGAGGCCCAATAAATAAGTGATTGACTGAAACTGCCTGCAGTAGGTGAAACTGTGTATATTGATTCTGCAGATTTGGAGGTCACGCTGTACTCTGCTCATTTAATAATTTTTGCAACTTTACAAAACCAAACTTTACAGAATTATCTTCCAAAGTATGAATGTCATGACCCTTTCTAGTTTCTGGTTATGATGATCTGAAAGAAATTCGTAGCTTGTGAGCTACTTCCTAATGTATAGAATATTGTTTTTCATTTACATTACCAACTAGAACTGTGAGATGGACACACAGGATAGAAACAAATGTAGCTGATACTGCACATGTAAGCTTTTCCCCAAAAGAAAAGAGATAGTAGATGATTTCCAAAAACAACAACAACTCTGGATCATTCTGTGATTTTTTAGCAGTAGATAAAAGACATGTAAGGCAAATGCAGTTGTGGGAAAGAAGGCATCTCTAAACACGTTTCTCTGCTAGTCCCATTAAATTCCCTCCCATCTGAGACAGAAGCGGCTTGGGCTGTGCATGTCAGAATCTCCGGCAGATCTTGGGAGACATTCCTGGCTTGGAGACTGCATTTAAATCATCCTTAATTATGCACAGAGTTGCTCAAGGCTGAACTGATGAAAGTGCTCCTGTTCACATCTTTAACTCTGGCTCCTAGAGGAGGTCATTTTTCATTTGCTTTTAATGAAGCAAATGAACATGGACATAAAGAGTGACAACACGACCCATTAAGCATTCCTTCAGGGGAGAAAATTCAGATGGCCTGATCCAGCAATGAACAGAAGCCACACTAGAATCACGAGACATAAAAAACTGTGTTAGATACCCCCTTCCCCTGGTTTAAGTATTCCTATTACTTCTGATTTTCATGATGCAAGCAGGGTTGAGAGAAGTCCCAAGATTAGCAAAGTGCTACACATAAACACTTGTAAAAGAGGAGGGAAAAATAAGGAGAGAAATCATTAAAATCAACTCAGTAATACACTCTATGTCCAACAAATGCTGTCTGATAGTTTGAATGGTGGGCAAAACTCAATGTGAGGAGGAATGGAATGAAACACACTAAAGGTGAGTTGACACTTTGAAAAGGACAACACCACACTGTAACATTTAATTTCTATTTCTATGTGTTTTTCCCCTGACATTAAGTCCAGTCGTGTTCGACTCTGGGTGTGGTGCTCATCTCCATTTCTAAGCCGAAGAGCTGGCATTGTCCGTAGACATCTCATGTGGCTGGCATGACTGCATGGAATGAAATGTGGACTAGGCAAAACTACGGTGAGGTGGATCTGTAATTGGTTAAATGGATGAACCCAGAAGGTGCTCACCAATGCTTCCTCTTCATCTTGGAAAGAAGTGACAAGTGGAGTGCCGCAGGGTTCCGTCCTGGGCCCGGTCCTGTTCAACATCTTTATTAATGACTTAGATGAAGGGCTAGAAGGCATGATCATCAAGTTTGCAGACGACACCAAATTTGGGAGGGACAGCCAATAGTCCAGAGGACAGGAGCAGAATTCAAAACAATCTTGACAGATTAGAGAGATGGGCCAAAACTAACAAAATGAAGTTCAACAGTGACAAATGCAAGATACTCCACTTTGGCAGAGAAAAACGAAATGCAAAGATACAGAATGGGGGATGCCTGGCTTGAGAGCAGTACGTGTGAAAAAGATCTTGGAGTCCTTGTGGACAACAAGTTAAACATAAGCCAACAATGTGATGTGGCAGCAAAAAAAGCCAATGGGATTTTGGCCTGCATCAATAGGAGCATAGTGTCTAGATCTAGGGAAGTCATGATACCCCTCTATTCCGCTTTGGTTAGACCACACCTGGAATATTGTGTCCAATTCTGGGCACCACAATTCAAGAGAGATAATGACAAGCTGGAATGTGTCCAGAGGAGGGCGACTAAAATGATCAAGGGTCTGGAGAACAAGCCCTATGAGGAGCGGCTTAAGGAGCTGGGCATGTTTAGCCTGAAGAAGAGAAGGGTGAGAGGAGATATGATAGCCATGTATAAATATGTGAGAGGAAGCCACAGGGAGGAGGGAGCAAGCTTGTTTTCTGCTTTCCTGGAGACTAGGACGTGAAACAATGGCTTCAAACTACAAGAAAGGAGATTCCATCTGAACATGAGGAAGAACTTCCTGACTGTGAGAGCTGTTCAGCAGTGGAACTCTCTGCCCCGGAGTGTGGTGGAGGCTCCTTCTTTGGAAGCTTTTAAACAGAGGCTGGATGGCCATCTGTCAAGGGTGATTTGAATGCAATATTCCTGTTTCTTGTCAGGGGGTTGGACTGGATGGCCCATGAGGTCTCTTCCAACTCTTTAATTCTTTGATTCTTTGAATGTCATTACCTTCCCACCAGAGCGGTACCTATTGATCTACTAACATTTGCATGTTTTCGAACTGCTAGGTTGGCAGAAGCTGGGGCTGACAGCGGAAGCTCACACTGCTCCCTAGAATTGAACCTGCAACCTTTCAGTCAACAAGCTCAGCAGCTCAGCACTTTAACCCACTGCACCACCGGAGTGCCCTATTTCTATGTGTACCAACTTTAAAAAACCCAATCCTTTATGCATTCATGAGAATATTGTGCAGATGTCCATGCATTCAAAGCTTTTGCAATCCCCTAGTCATAAAGTCCCAGCACTATACTGTAATTAAGCCAAATAATTTGTAATTGAAATAGCACACATTCTGTTGCTGTTTAACTTTTGTCTCCATCCTTTCACCTTCTGCTGTTTCCTCTTACTTGAATTGCATCCCATTCCGTAGTCATTTGAGGTTTGCAGGGGAAACTGGTAGCATCTGATGGCAGTCAGATCATGGCAGGAAATGAACCAGTAGGAAACAGGGGCAGGTCACACTAGGAAAGATCCAATTACACTCTGATCAAAGCGGGTACAGTCTTATCAAAGCAGACACTATATTTCAGAAGGCAACATCAATTGAGAACAGGACCTTGGATAGCTCCAACGTAAGCAAGGACTTTGAGCCTGAGCTTCATCTTCATTAGAAACCACTGCTCTGGATGAGTGGGAAGATCTCTGAACATGGGACTTGTAAATCACTATGAATATTGATGTTGTTGACAATAATAGCGGCATATAGTTATAGAGTTCTCTCTAGACATTCTCTAGGTCCTCTAGCATGATTCTGTGGAATTATTGAGCCAAAGTCCTTCAGTTCCATAGAGTCAGCTATTATAATATCCACATTTTCTCATGCACACAAAAAATACAGGAATATATTTTATATATAACATAAATAAAGCATTACAAATAGGCATCCACATTATCCATTATTCTGGATGACTGGTCACCCAGTACTAAATTTGGATCAAGGCTTTCAGGTGGAAGACAACCTCTCTTTTCCTAGCTGAATATTTACTCTAAAGTAAGGCCCACCAAATTCAAGGGAATTCCTCACCAGGCAACCAGGTGCACAATGCTGAAGTCTTCAAGAAGCAATATTGAGCTTCTTGTGTGTGCGCTTTGGGTTGTATGTCTTTATTTGCATCAAAATAGCTAAGCTCAGGACTGAGTCTGCATTGCAGTCGCAGCACAAAAAGTCCATGCTAAATTAGTAAACTCCACAGTGGAGGCTAGAAATGGAAATGGAGATAGTTTGGGATGATACAAATTCGACATTTGTTATTGTTATCATGTCACTGCTACTATAATTTTAAAGAGCCAGTATATGGAATAAGTTTTAATATTTATATTGACCTGGTCCTGTTCAACATCTATATTAATGACTTAGATGAAGGGTTAGAAGGCATGATCATCAAGCTTGTAGACGACACCAAATTGGGTCAAGGGTCTGGAAAACAAGCCCTATGAGGAGCGGCTTAAGGAGCTGGGCATGTTTAGCCTGAAGAAGAGTAGGCTGAGAGGAGATATGATAACCATGTATAAATATGTGAGGGGAAGTCACAGGGAGGAGGGAGCAAGCTTGTTTTCTGCTTCCCTGGAGACTAGGACGCGGAACAATGGTTCAAACTACAAGAAAGGAGATTCCATCTGAACATGAGGAAGAACTTCCTGACTGTGAGAGCTGTTCAGCAGTGGAACTCTCTGCCCCGGAGTGTGGTGGAGGCTCCTTCTTTGGAAGCTTTTAAACAGAGGCTGGTTGGCCATCTGTCAGGGGTGATTTGAATGCAATATTCCTGCTTCTTGGCATAATGGGGTTGGACTGGATGGCCCATGAGGTCTCTTCCAACTCTATGATTCTATGACTCTAAGTGCTTATTGTACTTTTAAAGGTTGTATATTATGCGATGTTGTGGCCTATGGCTGGTACAATAAACAATCCATTCATACTTAACGCAGAGAGAAAAATGAAAAGGAATCTGCATTGCTTTCATAACCTAACAATTCCTGCTTTGTATGGGTTTCTGTCACCTTAGTTCTGACAGCTTCCCCGCTTCTCTGTTTTTATCTTTACCTTCGCATCCCAAAGAAACCCTTTGGGAGGTTTGTTTTTATTTTGGTTTTACTTTATTTGTGTGTTTACTTGTAAAAGCAGGGGAGAGAGGGAGAGAGAGAGAGAGAGAGAGAGCACTTACATGCACACATATACTGTGCACATCCTCAGCTTCTGTATGACATCCACCTTCTGCTTTCCAGAGATCCATCTGCTAAGAAGAGCTAAAAAGGAGAATAGGGATATGCCTATTGGGGAGCAGAAATCCTTGTGGATCATCCGGTGTGCTCAGGATGAGACAGACAGAACTGGCTTTGTAGCCAGAAAAGTACAGGCATCTGTGTTTTTGCAAGGCAAATGATGTCTAATCTCTTTCCTCCCGCTCCCCCACCCCATCATCCCATATTTGTCTGATATGTGCAGCCTGAAATGCCAGGCATCCAAACCCCTCCTTCCCTTGGCATCTCCCCGACCCCCCGCTCTGCTCCCACCTTTCCTTCCCTTTCCCTTCTTGTTCATTCAGAACAGATGATGCTCTGATCACATGGACCCGTCAACCTCGCCTCCCCTCCTTTACAGCCCTTTAAATAGCTATATTACAAGAGAATTCATTTGTACTATACTCACAGAGAGAAAGGGGAAGAGAAAGGAGCAGGAGGAGGAGGCAAGGAGAGGGAAATTTAATAGGCAAACATGACAGGGGAGGCTTAAGGATGAGGATGGAGGAGGCTCTCTCAAAGACCAGGGAGGACAGGGGGGTGTGAGCAATGGTGCTTCATGCCTCTTTTGTTGTAGCAGGCAGGAGGAGAGAGGGAGCAAGCAAGAGGAGACGTGGCTGGGAAAATCTATCCCTCTCACAGAGATGCTGATGGCATGGAGTGGATGGTTGCAGAGCACCTGCTTTGCCTTCAGCCCAGCCTTGGGGTCACCGCCAGCTGCCCCCCAGAATGCCTCATTACAGAATTCCCATTTCCAGGTAAGGAATGCTTTTAAATATATATACAACATGTATTTATCTTTCCATTTACCCAAGGCAGACTGGAGAAAGCAGGAAGTGATACGATCAGCCAAGGGGAAAGAGTGCTTTAGTGATGTTAGATTAGAAAAGGAGACAAGAATGATTACCATCTCCCCCATCCATCTCCCTGCTTGCCAGAGGACAACTGGGGAACCCTGGAAAAGCACGCCTCTGGCTGTGTAAGCTGTTCTTAACCCTTGTAACGATTGGGAAAGTATCCAAAGTTAGTCTGGATTTCGCCCCATGTTAGAATTAGGGTAAATTAATCTTGAAGCATTTAGAAGTCAAATATGAATCTAGAGTTAATTCACAATTTGGTTAAGCAGACTTGGAATGTTAGGTTTTTCATTGCAAATTGTAATATGTAAGGATGGCTGGTCTAGTTGGACTCTGAGTGTAATGTTCTTATTCCATGATCACCCCACTCACATCTTGTAGATGACAATCTGTGTCGCTTCAAAATGTGACAAGACAGCCTTGCTACATTTGTGATCTCTCCCTGTCATGTGTCTCTGGACCTCTGTCCTGAAGTCCTTCCCTGACAGCCCCACTGGCAGGGATCCGTGAATGTATAATATGACAGTAATTCAGATGGATTGAACAAAACTAAATGGAGCTTCCATCAACCCAGGCAGTATACCTCTGAACACCAGATGCTGGTGCTTTGTAACAGGGAGAAAATGTTCCTTGTATGTTGTGCCTCTGCTCTTTTGGGAAGCTGTAGTTTGGATTCAATCAGAATCTTATACTCTAATGAGAGTTTGGGGTGATCCAATGAGGGACCTACCTTTGTTCCTTGAAGGGCTGAAATGACCACCTGGGAACAGAAGGTAGGTCAACAATCAGGTTGATCCCACTGGTGGAATTAATAAGAAAATAAAAGTTGTGGGATGACATGTGTTTGCCTGTGTGTGTGTAGCATGAATGTTCTTTTCAACTCAGAGGTGAGCAGATGGGAGCCGGAGGCAGTGCAAACCAATATAATCTCATCTGACTGCAGAATTCTGATCAAAAATATCTAGATCCAATTCCTCTTTTGTGTATGTACATCCAATGTGTGGTCTGTGACCAACCACCAAAATAGTTGCTGTAACATGGAAGGGGTGTTGTAGGAGGGGGTTTATCTACCCACAAAAATATATTCTTCTATGACATAATTTAGCCTTTCAGTCTTGACCTTCTATTGAAATGAAGCCTGAACGTATTGTATGTATTTCATATTATTGTGAGCTTGTGCTCCCTCCAGTCACTCCCCCTTCTTCCTCTGCTTTTTCTTGTACTGTGGGCCAAACTTGGATGTGGGGACACGAGGCTTGTAAATTTTATCTAGAGACTTCTCTAGTTCCTGACAAAGAGAGGAGGTGTGATTCTGTATTTTAGAGGAAAAATAGGAACTTGACCATCTCTGCATTTCACCAGTCCCTTCTCTTTGGCTTTCCTCTTGACACACCTCTTCCACATAGGCAGGTGGGATACTGTGAGGAGATAAATCACAAAAAAGAGATGTTAGGGATAGTCCTTTTGTATTAAAGGTCAGTTCTCCTCCAATTTAAAGTCCCAGGTTAGGTCTCCTTTTAGCACATTCAGTTTGGTCCTGCCTCGATTTTGATGGGCATCTTCATGGGGCAAAGGTCTGTTTCGTGTTGGGAAACTGGGCTCTTCTGTTCTTCTGCAAAGTGCCAATACATCCTTGCTACTACATTTTCATAGTCACTAGTAAAGGTAAAGATTTTCCTCTGACATTAAGTCCATTGGGGGTTGGTGCTCATTTCCATTTCTAAGCTGGATGATAAAAACATCAAATCATCCAGGTGTCCCCTGGGCAACGTTCTTGCAGATGGCCAATTCTCTCACACCAGAAGCAACTTGCAGTTTCTCAAGTCGCTCCTGACACGACAAAAAAAAAGCTGAAGAGCCAGCAATGTCCGTAGACACCTCTAAAGTCACGTGGCCAGCATGACTGCAAGGAGCGCCATTACCTTTCCACCAGAGCGGTACCTATTGATCTACTCACATTTGCATGTTTTTGAACTGCTAGGTTGGCAGAAGCTGGGGCTAACAGCAGGAGCTCACACCACTCCCTGGATTCGAACCTGCGACCTTTCAGTTAGCAAGTTTAACAGCTCAGCGGTTTAATAATAATAACAACAACAACAACAACAACAACAACAACAACAACTTTATTTATACCCCACCACCATCTCCTCCAACAGTGCCACTCTGCCACCAGCGGCTCTTCTAGACTAAGATTAAATATAAATACTATTGGCATGCCGATAACAGTCATGATTAATAGCAGAGCTATAGGCGTGTTCTTCTGCTAATCTCGATAAGACTTCAGACACACTTGGACATTCAAGGATATGTAATGCAAACCACATGAGGAGGGTGAAAGGGACCATACTGGCTTTGTTGCCCTTCCATTTCTTGGGAAAGAAACAATAAGAGCAACAGGACAGCATCTGAATGTATGTAGTCTCTTTGGGTTGAGCCACTTTAATATACATGGTTGATGGGGACATAGAAATAGACTTTCCTATGGCTGTCCCTCAGATCTGGGACTCCTTTCCTAGCGAGGCCAGAAAGGCCCTCTTCTTATAGGCTAAGACATTTCTTCTCTCATACATTTTTAAATACAGCTCCTAAGAGACTACTGAAATCTTGACACTCTACTGCTCTTAAAAATGATTTTTGTCATTTTTAATTGCACAATCCAGGTTGTTTTTAGTGTCATCAGTAGTTTAATTCCATTTCAATACTGATCTTTTGTACATTTACCTATATTCTAATATGTAAGCTGCATCCCATTTTGGGGAAAGACGGGGTACAATTCATGATGATGCTGATAGTGACCACAACAGAGGGATTTCGCTGAGGTTGAGATGCAAATATATGCAAGCTTTCTATTCCTCAAGGAGACTTCAGTGGGTTTGGCGTAATAAACGTGTCCCCTCTGAAGAAGCACTATAAGAATTCCCCTAATAATGACATGTTGAAAAACCCCATTCAAAAAATAGCCAACTGTTGTGAGATTTGTGCAAAATCCCTCCTACTCCTGTGCAAAAGACCACTGCATTTGAACTGCTTGTTTTGTGTTTGTTTTACATCACAAAATTTAAATAACTGTTTGTAGCAGGAATGAAATGGTTTGTGAGCAAACCCATATTTTCTGAGAACAACAACAAAAAATCCTTCGTGAAACTTTTTGCCTGTAGCAATGAAATAAGCAAAGCTTCACACTCCTAATTTGGGGTGTCATGTTTTTCTTACGTCGTTTACTGTAGTTGTATAATATTTGAAGTAAAAGCTGTGGTTCTAAAATATCTGGAGAGACCTTGATATGACCTGGATGTAAGAGGGCATGGGTGCTATTTCCTCATCTACATCAGGGGAACACAAGTTTATTTTTAAAAGATATGATTTTCAAATATTAAAGAGGGCAATATCTTGTTTTAGAGGTTGGTAGGAAGTCAGGTGCAGAGATAGCGGTCCCACATTTTCTGCTTTGAAATGGAATACATGGCAGTGCGGACTCATAGAATCATAGAATAGAATCATAGAATCATAGAGTTGGAAGAGACCTCAGGGGCCATCCAGTCCAACCCCATTCCGCCAAGAAACAGGAATATTGTATTCAAAGCACCCCTGACAGATGGCTATCCAGCCTCTGTTTAAAAGCCTCCTAAGAAGGAGACTCCACCACACTCCGGGGCAGAGAGTTCCACTGCTGAATGGCTCTCACAGTCAGGAAGTTCTTCCTCATGTTCAGATGGAATCCCCTTTCTTGTAGTTTGAAGCCATTGTTCCGCGTCCTAGTCTCCAGGGCAGCAGAAAACAATCTTGCTCCCTCCTAACTATGACTTTCTCTCACATATTTATACATGGCTATCATGTCTCCTCTCAGCCTTCCCTTCTTCAGGCTAAACATGCCCCGCTCTTTAAGCCACTCCTCATCGGGATTGTTCTCCAGACCGTTCATCATTTTAGAATCATAGAATCATAGAGTTGGAAGAGACCTCATGGGCCATCCAGTCCAACCCCCTGCCAAGAAGCAGGAATATTGCATTCAAAGCACCCCCGACAGATGGCCATCCAGCCTCTGTTTAAAAGCTTCCAAAGAAGGAGTTTCCACCACACTCTGGGGCAGAGAGTTCCACTGCTGAACGGTTCTCACAGTCAAGAAGTTCTTCCTAATGTTCAGATGAAATCCCCTTTCTTGTAGTTTCTTTGTAGTTTCATTGTTCTGCGTCCTAGTCTCCAGGGCAGCAGAGAACAAGCTTGCTCCCTCCTCCCTATGACTTCATCTCACATATTTATACATGGCCATCATGTCTCCTCTCAGCCTTCTCTTCTTCAGGCTAAACATGCCCAGCTCTTTAAACCACTCTTTATAGGGTTTGTTCTCCAGACCCTTGATCATTTTAGTCGCCCTCCTCTGGACACATTCCAGCTTGTCACTATCTCTCTTGAATTGTGGTGCCCAAAATTGGACACAATATTCCAGGTGTGGTCTAACCAAGGCAGAATAGAGGGGTAGCATGACTTCCCTGGGTGCAGACACTATACTCCTATTGATGCAGGCCAAAATCCCATTGGCTTTTTTTGCCACCACATCACATAAACCCAGTTCAAAGCAGATATTGTGGGATTTTCTACCTTGATATTCTGGATTGTATGCTGTGTGGAAGGGCCGAATGTTAACTGCAATTGCTCTACTGCTCATTTTTATTAAGATTTGTTCCAATCCCCAAAGAAGCAGTGTGTCTTAGTTTTGAATTTGGGAAACTCAAATTGAGATGGCTTTAGGGTTCATCTCATTAATACTGAAAAGGAATTTGAAGTAACATTTTAACAAATCTATAGATGTGGCAGTGTGAATGTTGGGCTAGGACACTGAGGAACAGGGTTTGAATTCCTGTTTGGACATGGAAATCTACTGAGAAACTAGAGTTTTGATT